CTACATAAATGTGAATTTCCCAAACTGGGAAGAGAATGATAGGAACTCCATGAATTGTGAGAGCAGAAAGAACAGAAAAATTAGCAGTAGAGGAATAGGATTTGCCCTGATGTTGAGTTCTCTGGGCCCAAATTCTTACTTAAGTGAGGAAATAGGACTAAATGTCATCTAAAACCACTTCCTCTAGCACGAATCTTTTGGTCCTACAGGATTTGATCAATAAAAGAATGAGAAATCAATCAGCAAGCATTTATTAAACACCTACTATGTACCAAGGATTATCCCTGCCCTCGAGGAGCTTATGCTCTATCAGTAGAGAGAACACATACATAAATAAACACAAATACATTTAACAATAATTATTATAACAATATCTAGAATTCACATAGCACTTTAAGATTTGCAAAGTGCTTTACATGTTATCTCATTTGATCCTCAAAACAACCCTGTGAGGTAGGTGTTAAATTCTCCATGGTATAGAAGCCGAGGCCAAGGTATAGAAGTTGAAAGATTTACCTAAGGTCAAAAGCTAGTAAGTGTCAGAGGCAGGATTTGAACTCAGGTTTTCCCGACTCCCAGTCTGGGACCCTGTGTTTTGTGTCACATAACTGACTAGATGTGTACATATGTGTACATGAATATACATATATACACATATACTTATATACACATATATATATGCATATATATAAAGACATATGTATGTCTTTATAAGTATTAATATATACACATATGGAAGATCAGGATTTGTTTTTTAATTTAGAATGTTGTTTTAGACAGCTTTGAAGGAAACACAAGGGATTGAATCTAAGGGACAATAGTGAAAATGAAGTGCATTCCAGATATAGAACACGGGCAGTATAGAAGCAGAGATGAGACAAGCAGTGTTACATATAAGGAATAATAGAACAAGAGAACCAAGACAAGCATCCTCCTTAATATCTGATTCCATCCTTTCAAAACTTCAGCCATTTCCCCAAAAAAGTTATTCCCAGGATCCAGAGCTCCTATCTTTTAGAAGGGAAGACATCCTCCTTCCTACTGAGTGAACATTCCTCCACCCAAAAGAAGTTTACATACATAACAGCAGGAGTGATCGTCTTCATTCTCCTTTACTGTTACCCTGTAGCTTGGGCAGGCAGGGGATGTGAAGCACCAGCTGGGTTTTAAGGCCTTAATTATGAGTGAAGAAGCTGGAGCTCCAAACCTGAGAAGAAAATTGTTTTGGATTTAACAAGGGAATCTGTTCATCACTTCTTGGCCCCAGGTCTCTGGAATCCAACCATAAAGCACTCTCTTTCTCCACCTAGCCAGCAAGTTTTAGGGACAATCAGGTAATGCTTATGAAAGCAAGATGTGTTTCAGGGTTTAGAGAACTCTTTTTTCCCTTTCGCTGTCCCACCCTCACAGATGATTGATGTATTATTTAGTGTGTTTGACTTGAATGGCTCTACAGACACAACGGTATGTAGCTCAGGGGGAGAAGTGGCCATGATATAATCATGATATTTAATTACATATGCCAACCTGACATACATTTAGCCATTATAGCTTTCAAAGAGGCCCTTATAATAAACACTGATATTTATGGGAAGGTAACTTAATGAGCAGGAAGTCTTTTTATCTGCTAAACAAACAAACAACAACAAACATCAAGTCATAGAAAGTTCAGTAAAACAGTTCTCTCAACTATACCATGAAAGTGCAGGATGGTGGAAAAAGTCCCTTCTTTGGATTTGCTAGGAAATGTTTAACAACTTGCTGAGGGTGGTGGTGGGGAGTGCCCATAACACACTTTTAAGTTTAATCTGTATTACCAACATTTTCACCATCATTTTTTTTAAATCTAGACAATCAACAACAAAAATAAATCAGGTTCTGATTCGTAGTATTTGCTGATTTTTGAAATGTAAAAACACGGAAAATTTAACCATCAATTCTCCCAAGACCCGAAGGCTGGTTTCAGCAGATCCCTGCATGTGTAGTCTTGGGCAAACCATTTACAGAAGATCAGGACTTCTAAAACTCGAAGCTGCAAAGGTTTTGAGATCATCTAATCCAGGGGTCAGCAACTAAAAATGTAAAAAATCATTCTTAGCTTTCTGGAAACAGATGGTGGGTTGTATTTGGCTTGGAGGCTATGGTTTGCTTACCTCTAATCTAGTCCAACTACATATTTGCAGATGAGGAAATTTTGGTGCAGGAAATGGAAGTGATTTGTGTGCAGGTTTACACAGATAAGAAGTAGTTGAGCCAGGACCTGAAACCGAGGCTTTCTCACTCCTTTCTGTGCCATAATTTACAATTAGAATAGATAATATATAATGACTCTTCTTCCTTTACCATGTTATGGTTTATGGCTGGTTCATTTTTTTATCTGATCTATAAAACTCCTAATATCAGATGAAAAGTGAATTGTTGTATGTTCAATTTAAATTAAGATTAACTGAAAATTCTTTAAAAATATTTTCCCTTAATTTTATAAACTTTCAACCAATTGACAGAGCTCCACTATTTATTCTTGCTACATAGCCTAAGGGGATAAACTGCTGTGTCCTTTTAGATGCAAGTTTTGCTTTCATTTATTAGGAGTTTTAAAGAATAAACACAGTTGCTTAAGAAAAAAAGAAATCAGATCCCACAAGGTCCATATATTATGTACCATTTCCTAAACAGATAACAAATTCCTTATTGCCTTTGCAGAAAAACACTATAAGAAATCAAAATGAACAGAATAATGTAAAATAATTATAATAAAATTCAAATTATTGTCTTTTACATTCAACAATGTTGTTCCAGACAGCAGTCTTATTCTGTGTATGTCCAGCTGAACCATTGAGTGAATAACCTAGAATCCTTGCCACACTATGTTAGAACAATGCTGTCATTTGTAACTAGGGCTAGTGTTGGCAAGGCCTCTCTGCCACTTTTTTGTATGCCTAGTGGTCTGGCTGGACCAGCTTTGTTCAAATAATCTCTACCTTGCTTCTAATTATTAAGCAACAAATAAAATCAGGTCATAGAGTGTATTTAGGCAGTAAAAATATAGTGAAGTGTTTAATTATTTTCTCAGGATGGCTTTTTCTTGGAGTACTACTAGTTGAAAATTATCTGAAAATTCAAGAATATAATATAATCAGCACTGTGCTACTTAGTGGAAAAGAAATATAAATTAACTTAATTATTAGGCTCCCCCAGTGACCCTGTTTTCCAATCAGGAAGTTCAAGTTAGCAACCATTTATTAAGGGTCTGTGAAGTGTGTGTAATAAGTGCAGAGAGAGTCCACCTCAGGGTCAAGAAGATCTTGATTCAAGCCTAGCTTAAAAACATACTGGCTTTGTGATCCTGGGCAAGTCAATTAACCTCTTGGTATCTCAGGCACCTCTCTAAAACTGTAAAGTATAGAGATTGGCAGAGAGTGTTTCTTCACCTGAAATTTCCTAAACCAATTCAAATATGGTTCTTATACACACATACATACATACATATATAGGTTTTTGTATGTATATGTATGTATATACATATATGTGTGTGTGCATGCATATATATGTATATACATATAAGTGTATATGAGTGTGTATATGCACACATGTATGTATGTGTGTATTTCTACAAGGATTATGCTTTCCTTGGTAAAATAGAAATGAAAACTTTTTCTTTCTGAATCTCACACTTGAATTTTTAAAATGATGTCATCATACTTCATTTCTTATGGCAAATTTTCTCCATGTTCCCAATTCCATCAGAATGACTCATCTTGATAGCATTTTGAGCAAAACTTCCACTTCTATCTTTTATCAAAAAACAAATAGTAGTGGTAGTGGGGGACATAGAGAGAAGTAAGAAGTAGCACATAGTTCAGAGGTAGAAGGGACCTGAGAGATCATCTTGTCCATCCTCTTCATTTTACAGATGAAGAGACTGAGGCCCAGAAAGTAAGAAAAAAAAGGAAACTGAGACCCAGTAATTCACTTACTAAACTGTAAGAGAATTGGAATCCAATCTCAAACTCTCTAACTCCAAATCCAGTGTTCTTTCCATTATGCAAAGGGGAATTATTATATTTAAAAGTTAACTGCCAACAAAAATACTCAGTCAGGTGTGAGTTGAGTGAGATAACCCCTGAGATCTCTTTCAGCATTCTATTTTCTATTTTTAAAAAATACTACAAATATGATCAGAGAAACATAGAATAAATTTGAGGTAATCTAATCTAACTTCCTCTATTTATAGATGGAGAAACTAAGGTCTAAAAGGAGTGACTTTCTAAGGTTACAAATGAAATTGTAGAGCTGTTCATTTTCTCTTTAACTAAAGGCTGTTTAATAGACCCTGAGAGCTATTTAAACATTTTCTTTTTTTCCTCATGGAGAGGGAAGAGAGCAAAGTGCTTACTGCCATTCAGTCCCCAAAATACAATGTAAATAAATTCTCTGCTGTAACATTTTATAGTCAGAGGGTGAGGATACATCTGAGGCCAGGACCAGAACATAGCAAAAAATATGGGGGAAAAAAAATCTTTTCTCTTCAGGAGACTTTTAGAATATCAGAGGCCAAAGGGTCTTTAGAGATCATTTAGTCCAAATCCCAGATTTTGTAGAAGAGGGAACTGAGACAAAAAGTTCTTATGTAACTTAGCCAAGGTCAACACATGTTCAGTTTCAAAACCAGGTCTAGAACTCAGGTCTGGTGTGCCTGCTATTGTACTCTTTTCTTTACACCATGATCCCTCCTAGGAATCAGGGAAAGGAAGGGATAAAGAGAGACAAAAGCTTAGAAATTGTAAGAACTTAGGAGATTATCTGAGCTTAAATTAATATTTAAACTAGTATTATAGTCACCAGGGCTTTGATGATCCATAGTACAGTAATGGGTTTATTAATTTAGAAATGCAGTGATAGAGCAGAGGGTGACCATAAATTTGGAATAGTTATTTTATTATGTATCAAAATGGCTAATTCTTCCTTTGAATTCGTTTTTAATGTCCCATTTTCTTTAGCTGAATGTGGAGCAAGTGTTACTGGAAATGAAGGAACATTACTGTCTCCAAATTTTCCATCGAACTATGACAACAACCATGAGTGCATCTATAAAATTGAAACTGAAGCTGGAAAGGGAATTCATCTTAGAGCCCGAAGCTTTCAGCTCCATGAAGGAGATGTGCTCAAGGTAAATGGAAATTTTATTCAAAGTCTTATCTTCTTTCTTTTAAGTATTTAATAGTATCTAGTTCTTTTTTAAAAAAGCTATTGCATTCCCTCTCAAAAGCTTTATCCAATAGAAAATCTAGGTGTCCTAAACCACTTCTGTTTATATTCTGGATAAATAAGGCTTTGACTCTTAAAAGGGTGCTACATATTTCCTCTTTCTTTTCTTATATGGTTCCAGGCCTTCCTGTTTATTCTCACAGCCACTCAATGTTCACATATTAAATGGGCATTTTCTAAGAGCTCCATTTCCATCGGAAGTAATTCAACTTTGTAACCTTTCTCACCCTAACCTACCTTTCCGTGGTTCTTTCTTTGCTTTCCAGTCTAATCTCATACTACCCCCCTAATTTGCATATCCTAGACTTCAATCAAACTGTTAATTAATCATCCTTCAAATATATCCCTGCTTTTCCCCTTTCCATTTTCTGATTGTTCCCTTTCTTTGCAATATCATTCTCCCTTGACCTCATCATTTCTTCCTTTTGATAATTAGCCCATCTGTAAGACTCAGAACAAATGGCATATATTTATGAAAGCTTCCTGTGACCCAATAGCTAGAAGCCCATTCTCCCTCATTTGATTTCATAATGCCTTAGACTCCTCATATGTATTCATAGTATTTCTAACTTAGGAAATATACATACATACACACACACACACACACACACACACACACACACACACACATACACATATATATATACCCCACACTATATACTAAGCTCTTTAAAAAGTACATTATATCTTATATGTCTTTGTTATCCCTCTGGTGCATTATATATAGTTGATACTTAAAAGAATTTTTTGAAATAATGGGGGGAAAAGTATCTCTGATCTGGTGAGATTTTAAGCTTTAAGCTCTAGGAAATGGTAGACTATGTAAGGCATCACAACAATGACAAGTTGCCAAAAAAAAGAAAAAAAGATGGAAAAAACAATAATGTCCACATTGGCTATCCATTTCTAAATGACTTGTAATGGAATTTTCCAGTGGAATTCTTGATCCTATTAGAAATCAAAATCTATTTATGGACTAAAATATAATCCTTCCTTCCAGTGGTGTACTTAACAACTTTTGTTGTTCCATTTCACAATTTCAGAAGACAAATTTATTCCTGCATCAATCAGAATTATTCTAATATTCTTTCCAAATCTCATGCTGGCAATACCAAGGACTTAATTAAGAGGTTATTTTCATGCCCTAAACCATCACAGTTTCCACTATCCTGGAGTTGAAAGACTCATGCTAAGTATCTCTTGCCTGAATTCTTTGATAAGTATCTATTCTCTGAATTCTTTGATAACCTCAAATTTGGAAGTCAATAAGAATTCAGAGCAAAATTTTAAGTAACTATTATCTGAATGCCAGAGCCAGGTGAGCGATTATAGGTGCCAAGAACAAAAGAGGGATAATTATTAGTGGGGAATAACAAAAAGACGGAACCTCTTTATGGGTGACTGCATATGGTTTTAACCTATTGATGTTTAATAAATGTCCCACACACACACACACACATACAAAAAAATCCCCCAAAACAACAACAACCCACATATAGCTATTAGGAAGCTGTCTATAAACTAAAATGTCTACATGATTATCATAATCATTTTCTTTTGGAAATGCTGCCAAGCTTTTATCTCTGTTTAGTCCATATAATTTTCCTATAGTCCAGTGAAGTCTCTTGCAAATAAAACTGTTGATTTTTTTATATTTCACTAACTTATTCAGAAAACACATTTTAAAAAACTCTAATCAGAGTATTAGAAGTGAATAAGTAAAGTACACAATAAAGTCCAATAGCAGGCACCTTCCATCCCATGGTGTCTTTCACAAACTGTGCAGTAATTGCCTTGCAGAAGGAAGTCAAGAAGCTTCAAGTCTTCCTTGTTGCTCCCATTGTGACCTTCGAACTGTTCACCCAGGGCTTTGTTGAAAAAAAGGAAAACATCTCAGTAGTCCTTTGATGTGTTATGGGGATTCAGAAGTGTAGGCTGATCTCTCCTACGTTTGCCTCATGCTACATGCACTTTAACTTTTGAGTATTCATAGCTCTACTTTGTAATCATCATTGTGATTGTGGCTCCCAAGTCATTGCACTTATATCCCCAGTTACTATTCTTTATGATAAGCACCCTTTAGTTGCATCTCTGTTCTTATCATACCACATAAATCTGAGGGGAATTTCCCCATAGATCAAAATTACCTGGCTGCTTCAGTCCCTTCAGTTCTGCCAAAGGGAAGAGGGTGTACAGTGGGGCACCATTTCTCTTTTCTTTTTATTCATCTTCTCATGAAGAGTTGGACACAACTGAAACAACTGAACAATAACAGAAAGTGCATAGACTTTGAAGGAAGATATGGTTTGGCTTAATGTAAAAGAAAAGTTTGTATAAATTAGAGTTGTCTAAAAATGGCACTGACCACCTCACAAAATAGGAAGCATCCTGAATGCGTAAGTAGAGGCTGAATTTGATATTATATTATTACATGACAGGATAGGATAGGATGTTGATATGTATTATATTATGTTATAATTTTTAAAAATCATGCCTTGAAACTAGGCTATATCTCTAAGGCCCCTTCCAAAACTAAAATTCTGTCATTTCAAGTGATGGTGCCTCATGAGCTTTTTCAAAATCACCAGAGTGTGCAAACCATCAGGAAACAGTTAGATGTTTCTATGGTACCTTATGAATTTATAATTACCTAGGGGCTTTTTTGTTCGTTTTCTTATTTGAACCAGACCTGTGATTTTATTGGTAGGGAACTCCTAATGAGGAAACTATCTCTACCAAAGTGTAGTCTTAAAAAGTTTCCTGGGGCACTGAGAGTTTAGATGACTTACTTACGATCACACAGCCAAAGCATGTTGAAAGTCAACCTTTTTCTTGTCTCTGGAGACCAGTTCTCTATCTACTATGTCAACTCAAACTACTAGGTACAATTCTAACCTGCAAACTTAGGTCTGGGGAGGCAGTTTATTATTGTAAGAAGAGGGATTTAGAGTCAGAGAACATGGGTTTGAATCCCAGTTACCTAAGTGATTTTGAGTAAATTGCTTCCTGTTTCCACACCTGAATTCCTTCAACTGTAAAATGAGGGTGTTGAAATAAATAATACCTAAGAGAAATTATTTAGAGAGCCCATCCAGTGAAAAATGCACTGACTGAAATAAGAGGATGTAAATTCAAATCTTGCTTCTAATGCTTACTACTGCTGTGACTTGATGAAAATCATTCCATTTTCCTCGGCCTTGTGGTCCTCATCTCTAAAATGAAGGGTTGTCTTTTTTTTTTTTTTTAATCTCTGTGGTCCTTTCTAGCTCCAGATTAGTTGCTAAATTTCACTGGCGCCTGAGGGTAGAGCCAGCTACTTAGGGAAGTTCAGGTGTACACGTATAGGGTCAGTTATCTGGATAGACAATTGGGCTAATTAGGACATGTGTATGAGCTAACTCTTGACTGCCAGTGCCTAATCACCACTCCCTGGTGATTTTAAGTATTGATTCGTAGCACAGCCTCTGGCACCAGGCTGTGATCACCCAAGAATCTTTACACCGTGTTACCATATTAAGGTTATAAAGATTGAGAACCTGGATCAGTCTGCAAGTTCAGAAGGACTTGGGGAATAAGGATGAATATTTCTGGCTATCTGTCTCTCCAGGAATTTTCATCAACTTCATAATGGATGCCCATAGGAAAACCCTTTTCTCTTTCATGATTTATATTTAGATTCCTCAGGCAGCTTCAGGCTTTTGGAGCCTAACTAGAACAAAATATGAAAACATATTTCTAATAATACTGGGCAGTTTACCAGCTCTTGGTGAGTAGCAAGAAGTACCTAAAGGGATTTGACTCAGTGTCATTTCATGCACACAAACATTAATCCATATGTACTCAAATTGAATGAAATAAAATAAACTCACATAAAATACGTGTTGCTAAATGTGTTGCTGAGTTTCATTCTTGGGGGAAGAAGAGAAGTATGTCTGTTTATGGAGAATGATAAGTGAATTTTATTTTTAAATGGAGAGGGAAGGGAGAAGAAAAAAAAAAAAGAAACATAATCAAGGTGTTGAAGGAAGTTCAAAGTAGAACAGGAAAGGTACCCTGGATCTAGAAAAGGCTCCTGGGGACTTTGACATGATTATGCCTGTTTGGAAGAAGGAACACTTCATCCTTTCTTGCTGAGAAAAGCTGTTTGCTCTCTAATTGCAATGGTCTCTCGATAGAGTGCCACACATTTTGTTTCCTAGCTCTAGAGAAGTCTTCTCTTCTCCTTCGGCTCCTTGTCAATAAAAGAGGCAAATTGATGGATAACCAGCTTCTACTTGGCACTGTCCCTTTGCCAGTTGTGGGCAAAAAAAATACTAAGTTTTGCCAAGATGTAAACAGACATATTCTGGCAACAAAGATGCTTGCTAGTTTTAGCAGAGAAGTGCAAAGCAGGGCATATAGCCCTGTCCAGATGCCTAAAGGAGCTTGGCATTAAAACTATCAGGATCTGAATTTCAGTCTCATCTTTCTTTTTGAGGATTCTGGGTTTTATGTTAGGCTGAATTGGGGGTCCCGAGTGTCTTTTTTTCAAATGCAATGAGGGTCTCAGTTAATCAGGGAAAATTGGTACTTTGTTTATTATATTTAAAGATGTGCTTAAAATCATTGTATGCTTTCATTGAAGTATGAAAGTGCTTTTAAGTTATTTTACCCCTAGACCAATTTTCCAAAAATTTCCCAAACTCTTAACTATATTCGTCACATCATAGGCAGATGAAATGCCAGGTATATAGTAAGCACTTAATAAATGTTTATTGATTTGACTTATTCACTCCTCCCACTTTGTCTCATCTTTCTCCTTTCTGTCAACCTCTTTCTCCTTTTCTTCCTCCATTCTTTTTTGCCCTTATTTATTTATTGAGGGTTTTTCTTTTTGATAAGGTGAGGGAGAATCTATGTCTATGTATCTATGATTTAATTGGCTTGTAGAAAACTCCCTGCAGATGGATAACTCTAGAAAATTTTCTGGATTGCTTAGAGAGGTTTGACTTGACTCCCATCACAAAGCTAGTGTAGGTCAGAAGCAAAGGGACAGAATTTGAACCAAAGTGTTCCTGACTTTGGGACAGCGGGGTGGCACGGTGGATAGAGTGCTAGGCCTGGAGTCAGGAAGACCTGAGTTCAAATGCAGCGTCAGATACTTACTAGCTGTGTGATCCTGGACAAGTCACTTGCTGACCTCAGTTTCTCATCTGTAAAACAAGCTGGAGAAGGAAATGGCAAACTGCTTCAATGTCTTTGCCAAGAAAACCCAAAAGGTGGTCACAAAGAGTCCAACACAACTGAAATGAATGAACAACAGTTTCCTGACTTCAAGCTAAGTTTTCTATAGAGTACAATAATATTTCTCTCCTCTTCCCCATCATCAGTTTATCAGTGTCATTTGAATATGTGGTTAGGATTGAAAAAGTAGAATTCAACCACACTAAGAAACTCTTAAGAACAGTTTGAGAATGATGTCCAAATTTTACTTCCTTCAAAATGTATCTAGTCCAGAAGTTGCTGATTCAGAATCACTCATTTTAGGTCCCTCTATTATAATAACTTGCATTATATCTAAATGGTTGGCCCAAGTGTCATCTGGCATAATAAAGTCAATTTGCTTTTGAGATGAAAGAAAACATAGTCTTTTCACAGAGCCATTTTCTTTTGCCTTATTTTTGTCAGATCTGTCTCTTTTCATGCCCTCCATCATATAGTTGAACATAGTCACAACGATTCTTCAGTATGATGAGCCAACCACAAAGAATACAGTGAGCCATAAAAAAAAAACCCTGTTTTATTTTTATAAGTAGTTCCATCATGAATCAATGTTGTATAGAACATTTTAGGAAAAATAAAAGCTATGATGTTAGAAAAGTTTTGTATGTCTGGGAATGGGAATCTGGCTAATTTAAATCTTATAATAGATACACAAATTCCACAGGGCACTATTTGTGGACATCATTGACTTTAACATTTTACTCAGGAGGACGACAAATTTAGATTTTGAAAAATCCAAATCAATACTAATTTCACTACCACAGAACCAGCACAATGTACATAGTCAAAAGCATGTTCCCCTTCTGTAGCCAAAACATTTTAGAAGCAAAATAGCAAATGTTCTTTATTTTAACCTATATTCATCTTTTTCAGGAGACTTTCTACAAAACATAAAGTTGAGTACAGTTTATTTTAGAGACAAAAGTGCGCCTCTCCTTAACCTACTATACAATGGTCTATTTCTTTTATTTGGAGACCAAGTTATGTCAGGCTCAGAATCTAGGAAATGTGACAGGCTGGGTTCAGTACTTGATTGTGCTTTGAAAACATTCAGACAGAAGGAATGAAGCAGAGTTGTTGGGAGTTTTTTTGTTCCTTTTTGTTTTGTTTCGTTTTTTCTTGTTCCTCAATGGTGGTTTCAAAGAAGAAACCCAAGACTGAGTTGTCACAAGCCTTCTCCATCTTTCTTTTATATAGCAGAGGGGGGTTGGAGGGAAAAGCATAGGTTTGAATGGGGGATGGGGACTAGAGGGGAAAAAAGAATAAAATGAAAAAGATTCAGAGAAAAAGCAATCACAAGAACATAGAGTCAGAACTAGAAAGCCCTTGGCTGTAATCTAGTTATCTCTTCATTTTATAGGTGAGGGAACCAAGGCCCAGACACTCATACAAGGTCACAGAAGTAACAAATTAGGGGTGGGTTTAGAAACAAGGTCTTTGATTCCCCATCCAATGTCCTTTCCATTGAAGCACACAGCTTTGATAGAATTTTAGATTGTAGATCTATGGAAAAATAATAATTTATCACTTTCATTCCACTCAGATTTACATAAACCACAAATATGTTGAATGCAAAATGACCTCCTGTCTTAGGCTGTTAAGAGATTGTGTTTGCTTTCCAATGTAATAACAAATCTATAACACTAACAAAAATGTTATTTAATGACTTCAGTACTTCAGTGTAATTCAATGATATGGGTACTCCTTCAAAAATGCAAATCACAACTTAACCCAGATCAACTATGTATGGCCTGATCCTGTTAATCATGTCCCTTAATAAATTCACTTGAATTGCATAGAGAGCAATGGAGTAATGGAGATAATGTATGTAAAATGCTTTGTAAACTTTAAAATGGCCATGTATGTAGATATCTGTGTGTGTGTGTGTGTGTTTAGTTATTGTTATCTCCTGTTCATTCTGTGACTGGTCCCTCTTTTTTTTTTCAGCCTTTCATTTTTTTGTTAAGATAGTATAAAGCATTTACTGAATAGTTCCTCATTGTAATTTAGTAGAGACTGAAAAGTGTTTGTTTTGAAGAAAATTTGAAGTTTTTATCATAAGTTGATCAAACAAACCAAAAGCCAAGGAAAAAAGAGTCACAAGTTATATATTTTTTATTAGGTTTTTGATGGAAAAGATAGTGCCTCACGCCCTCTGGGAGCCTTCTCTAAAAATGAACTGATGGGATTGATCCTCAATAGCACATCTAACCACTTGTGGATGGAATTCAATACAAACGGATCAGACACTGACCAAGGATTTCAGCTAACTTACACAAGTAAGTGGCATATATTGAATATTCTTTTAACAGTTTCATCGTGGTGGTCCATACCTATGCTGGTTAGTTGGCAGGATTAATAAAAACAAAAATAATTTGTTCCTAGCCTCTACCATGTTTCAGATTGCAATTTAATTCTGTACTCAGTTTGATGGGAAGTGAATTTAAACACATTAATAGAATCAAATATTTTGGAGTTTTGCACACTAGGGAAGTATTAATGCATTAGGTCTAGAATGTTTTATACTGAAAAGTGAGACTGAACAACATATGGGTATAGCTAGATTGAAAAATGCTTGTAGATTTTACATACTGACAAAGGCTTTTTAGAGGATAAGAGCTTTGGAACAAATGTTTGATATCAGCAATAAAAGCCAAAATGGCATTTTAACATTTTGAAAAAGAATAAGAAAAATCAGATTGGGAAAAAAAAACTATACAATATAGTAACAGTATTTCCACATTCTTTCCTTCAAAAGGGAGCTCTGTCAGAATTTTCAGATATTACTCACATGGATGATTAATTTACAAGACAGTATTCAATCATTTCATTGAAATATTCAAATTTTCCAAATGCTAGATACTTAACTATGCTTAATATTATAAAGCAGAATATATACAATTATTTTGAAATGTGTTTGATGTATAACAAAATATTAGCACTAAAATTCTAAACTCTTTTATACAAATGAGGAACCTGAAGCTCATTGAGGTTGAGTAATCTTCCCTTGTGTAGTCTCCTTGCTCCAAGAAGTCCCAGGGAACTTTATATCTTCTGAGCCATCACTAAAGTAAGGCCTAGGCAAGCTCAAATTGCCTGAGGCATTTGTCCAAAATAAGGTCTGGGATTTCTTTGTGCATACATGGAGAATGATGGAGAAGGTACCATGACCATAAGAGGTCCTAAATGCCCACCAGACTCTTTAGCTATATTTTAAAGCAGTTTTAACCAAGAGTAAACAGACAAACAAACATGGCTTGCCATTTCTCTGCTTTGGAGTTTATTAAATATGACAGTGGACAAAGCAATCTCTCATGTAGCTCAGGAACTCTGAGTTGAGACCCAGTCCTCATAATTTAGAAAGAGGTCCCCAGTCTCCTGTTTCCTTTGAAGTTCATTGGTATACCTTGTAATCACTGAACCCCCTCTTTCTATGTTTTTCCCTCACAACAATGAAGCACACATATCAGAATAGTATCAATGTTATCTTTTTCTACCTGGTATTAATAATAATTAAATAAAAAATATTAATAATCTTTAAGCTTTAAGCACAAAGAAAACTTTGTGCTTAACCAATGCCCTCTTGGACAGTGAGAAGGAGGGGGCAGGTACCAAATTGTCAGTTACCCATTCTTCTAAATGGAAAGTTAGCAACCACTTCTAGCTTAGGAATCCAAGTTTGTTATAGTCCATGGAATCCTAGCAATGGCCCCACACCAGAGACATAAACTCAATTTTCTGTCTCTCAGTCTTTAATCTGCCTCTGTTTCTTGACTCAAATTCCAAACCAAAAGCCAAATTGACCACCTACCTGCCATATATGAATCTCATTCAAACTTCCCAGTGTTTGCTCATTTTTGACTCCTCAGAATTTTCCTCTCCCCTTTCTTCAAGATGAGGGAAAAGCCCATTGGCTTTTTCTGGGGGAAGTTATGTCTTTCATTGTCACCAGTGGTTCACTCATAATTGCTAAAGTCCTTACTTCTGCCCACAGAAAATGGTCTCCATATACCTGACTACATATGTATATACAAAATACAAAAGATTAATTGGGGGGGCAGGGAGCACTACCGATTAGTGGAAGGTTATAAAAGGCTTCATCTTGAAAGCTGATTCTGAGCTGAGCCTTAAATGAAACTGAAGATTCTAAAAGGCACAGGTTAGGAGGGAGGGCATTTTAGGTATGGCAAAGCTAGTACAAAAGTGCTTGATAGCTTGATTCTACCTTGATAAGCTAGGTGAAAATAAATCAATACCACGAAGACTAGGAGTGAGGGAGCAGACAGTGTCTGTAATGGGAAAATCATTACACTAAATGAGAATTAATTAATATTTATTAAACTGATGCAACATGCTATAATGGGTAGAGTGCTAAATTCAGTGTCAGGAAGACCTGATTCAAGTCCTGCATCAGACATACTTAATAACTATATGGTTGGACAAGTCACTTAACCTCCCTGAGCCTCTGTATTCTCATCTGTAAATCATATACATGTGATCTGAACTGCAGTAGGTCATCATCCAAGCCCCATTCTTCATCCTCCACTGCCCATTTTTTATTCCTATCTCCCCCAACATTTTCACTCCAAAGTCTCAACCAAACACCACCCACCCCTTCCACTGTGCCTTCTGAAATGCCTATTCCATTAGAAACAAATTTCCCTTTAGGCTAAATCTTTTCCTCTCCTATTGGCTCCATCTTCTAATAATCATTCCTTGATGACCCACATAGCATCCTTGATTACCCATTGTCTGTACCTTTACTCATTTCCTTGGGTCACTGGTTGACACAAGGGAGTTGGAATACACATTCCCCATTGCTACTTGCAGGTTCACTCCCATTTACTCAGTAACCTCTTCTCCTTTGAGGTCCATACAATCCACATCTTTCACTCAATCAAAATAGTGGTATCTATTGTCCCCAGATATCCAAGTTGCTTCCCTTCCTTCCTCAATAAATTTGGTATCTGGCTCACAACATTTATCTCCTCAAATTCTGTTTTCATATTACAAGACTTCAACATATTACAGACTCTCCTTCAAACATCATGACCATACAGATCCTCAATCTACTTCCTTCCCATTACCCACTTCTCTACCTCACCTCAATAACACAAAGCTGGTTATATCATAGGTCTTTCCATCACCCATAAATGTACTTTTGACCTCTCCCTCTGACTTCTCTTACTAAGTCATACTCTATCCACATTGGGATCCCCAATCCCTTAACACTTCAGTTGTCTGTCAGGCCATCACCCCTGCATTAGCTTTTCCTCTTTTTTCCTTCTTGACCCTCTGGTAAACTAGTTCAGCTCTACCCTATCCTCTTTTCTTGAGTCTCTGGACTTCTTATCCTATCACTGACTGCACCCTGTAAAGCCTCAGCGATGGACCTGCCACCTTTGATCCTATACTTATGCTGGTGAATGAACATGAAGAAGATTGTGTAACCATTCTAATTGGGTCCAATACAACTTTGTATTATATGATTTCAAGTGGGCATTCATTGATGCTTGGCAATCTTTCTACACCTCCCTTACCAACTCACTATCCCATTCTTCATGGCTTCTCTTCCAAACCTTCTCATGCCTCTTTAAACATCCCATGGCTTCCCCTTCCCCCACCTCAAAGGCTGCCTCACATTTTATAGAAAAAAAATCAGGACATTCGTTGTGGCCCTACTTCTTATCAAGACTAACCTCCCTACCTACAATCCTTATTATGATCAGTCATTGGAGGAGAGTTCTGGTGGAAGAATCCACTGTATGAGGATACTGGAGAATTATGACATATTTCATATTATTATTGAGAGACAGTATTGTCCAGCAGATAGAAAGTCAAGGAAACATGGGTTCAAGTCTTACCTGTAGTCAGTTCAATGTGTTGTGGACCTTTATCTTGTCCTCTGACATTGAATGGATAATAATTAATAGTAATGATAGTAATAATGTTTCTAGAGTGGTTTAAGGATTTTAAGTCATTTTACATATGTTATCTCATTTGATCTTTGCAACAGTCCTGTGAAGTTGGGATTATTATTATCCATGTTTTATAGGTGTGGAAACCGAAGTGAAGAAGTTAAGTGACTTTCCCGGGGTCACATACCTACTAAGTGTCTAAGGCAAGATCCTCATTAGCTCTCCCTGACTCCAAGTCTAGGACTCTCACTATTTTGCCACCTAGATGCATGCATTGGATACCTTACTCATTCTACAGGATCAGGCCATTATTTTATTTCTAGTTAAATGTTTCTTTAATGATGCTCTTTACATAACTCCTGTGTCATCCCTAGTGCTAAATATGTTGCCATTTACTCATGCCTACCAAGCAACTCTTTATTGTTTTTGGATGAATCATTTTAATTTAATTTTTTTTTAATTTTAATTTAATTATTTTTTGAAAATTCAATTTTAATTTAAATATGCATATATTCATACATGTGCACGTATATGTGTGTATATATGTGAGTGTACCTGTGTATATGTGTAAGCGTATATATGTATAAGATCAAAGCAAAGAAAATTAACTAACTGTCATGATCATAAAATGACGAGCTAAGGTTATGAAAATCAGGCTTATTAATTTATAGTGACACCAAATATTCACCCAAATGAGTAATCTAAAGAGTAGAACTACCAAGAACACAATCGGCAAGACCAAACAGGCTGTATCATCCAGTTTGAAAGTTAGAACTGAACAAATAGATCTCAATGTGACCCTGAGAAATTAACTGAGTAATAAATGGGCAGGGGGGGAGGAGCAGGTACAGGATATTGAGTGAGGAACCTGTGTTGGAGACCCAGCTATGCCAGCCTAGAGCTGTCTATATCTGGGCTAGACATTAAGCCTCTCTAAGTGTCAGCTTACCTATCTTTAACTAAAGGAGTTGGATTTTTCCAGTTATAACATTCTTTGAGAGAGTTGATATTATCAAGGGCCAGGGGCTGGAAGGAGGGGTGCCATATATTTTCCTCACCTCTTCCCTAACAATAATTATTAGGGCTCTTTCCATCTTCATATGGAAAGATACAATAAATTGACAGATGCCCAAGTTTGCCTAATAAAAGTTGATAAATTATGGACTTTAAGTGGAATTTTCCAATCCCAAAATCATTTATTAAGCATCTCCAACTTTCAAAGCACTACACTAGGTACTCTTAATTCGAAACAAAATAAAATAAAACAAACCAACAAAAAGACCTTCCCTCAAAGAACTTATGTTCTATTGGGATACAGAATGTGTAAACAGATAGATATTTACCTAGTAATTTGAAAAGGG